GCGGTCCCTGAGGGGGTCTGAGGGGCTGGGAGGGAGCTCCAGGGTGGCAGAAGGAGTCTGGGGTCACTGGGGAACTATAACGGGCTGGGGGAGCGTATAACGGGAGGGGTGACTCTCTAGGTCTGGAGGGGTCATTGGGGAGATGTAACGGGTTGGGGGAGTCACTGCATAGGAATAACGAGTTGGGGCGATTTCCGGGGTGGATAATGGGGCTGGGGGAGGTATCGCTGGTTGAAGGCATTATTGTACAGATATAATGGGATGGGGGGTCATCAGGGAGGTACAGTGGGGCTGACCCCATCCCCGGCTGTCCCAGTCCCTGGAGGACTGCCCGCTGGACGAGGATGAAGATGCCTTCCAGGCCCTGGGGGAGGAGGATGAAGACATCGACCAGTTCAACGATGACACCTTTGGGGCCGGGGCCGTCGGTGAGACCCTGAGCGTCACCCCCAGATGTCCCTGAGCCCACAGATCCCCCTGGCTCATGTCCCTCACCCTGTGCCCCCTCGCAGATGATGACTGGCAGGAGGCCCACGAGCGGTTGGCGGAGCTGGAGGATAAGGCCGGGTCGAGCCGGGAGCCGGACGGTCCCATTGGGAACGACGGGGATGTTCTGGGTGATCCCGAGGACGCGCTGGCCGAGCGGCTCACGCGACTTGTCATCGACAGCGAGCTGGAGGACCCGGCCATCATGCAGGCCGTGCACACCAGGGACCCCCCGCAGGTGGGGATGGGCTGGGGGATCCCGGGGCATGTGAGGATGGATCTCGCTGCGCCGTCCTGACTCTCCTTGTGCTCTGCAGCAGCCTGGAGGGCTGAATTCCAGCATCTGGGACAGTTCAGCTGTGCTGCGGCGCATCCGGGGGCCGCTCCTCGCTCAGGTAGGGCAGGGGGCTCTTCCTGGTGATCCCAAATGCCCGTGGCAACCAGCTGGGTGGGATAAACTGTTGCTGGGATAGTGGAGTGTCCCGCTTCCCTCCAGCTGCATCCGTGGCTTGTGGGGGACCCTCATAGCTGTCACCCTCTTGGTGACCCTGTCCCCACATTGGACCCTGGAGGGCTGGGATGGCAGATTTTTGCTGTTCTGGGATGCCTGGTGATGTCTGAGGGATTTCAGGGCTCCCAGCAGGATCTGGGAATGTTGATGCCTGGAGGCAGAGGATTTTTGTGTTGTTGTGGTTTCATTAAGAGTCAGGCTTTGAAGTGCTGCGTGTCCAATCCTCTCCCAACTCTCTCCTGGCTCTGCCGGGCTGGGAGGTGACCCAGAATTCCCACCCCACGCCCTGTTATCCCAAACGGGATGCTCTTGGCAGTCACAGCTTCAGGAATGCCCAACGTCACGTGGAGATCCCAGGGAAGCACAGTGGGACATGGAGAGCTGGCAGTAGGAAGTGGGGACACTGACCCTCCTCCTTGTCCCAGCCTGTGACTCTCAGGGAATGGGTGTGTCCCTCCCATTCCTCCCACAGGAGATGCCACCCGTGTCCGTGCTGGATTATGCCCTTCCCCAGAGGCCTCTGCAGGCTCGGGATGAGGAGCGGGATCCATCGGAGCGGGCGCTGCCCCGGCGCTCCTCGTCCCCCATCATCGGCAGCCCCCCGGTCCGGGCCGTTCCCATCGGCACCCCCCCGAAACAGGCCGCCATCCCAAACTTCAACCAGCAGGTACCTCCTCACTTCCCAACTTCCCACGGCTCCCAGGGGTGTAAGCTGCTTCCCAGGGGAGTGACTGTGCCACTTGTCTCTTCCCAGATCCTGTGTCCCAAGCCTGTCCACATCCGAGCTACCATGCAGCAGCGTTATCCCACTCCCTATGGAGAGAGGATGTCCCCCAACCAGCTCTGCAATGTTCCGGTATCTAGCTTTCTCTCCACCTTTTTTCTGGGGATTGATGACCAGGCCCCTCCCTGTGTTCCTGTGGCTCATCCGCACCCCACAGAGCCTGGCCTTCCTGGGATTTGTCCCTTCTGCCAATCGTGATCTGTGACTGGGGTCCCTTTTCCCAACTTTTTCCCCAGAATTCCTCCCTCCTGGGCCACCCGTTCCCCCACAGTGTCCCTCCCGTTCTCACGCACCTGCAGAGAGCCCAGCTGCTTGGAGGAGCCCAGGTAAAACTCCTTCCTGTGCTTTATCCCACTTTTCCTCCTGGCTCTGGGACTTGGCTTTCCATGGCTCTTGCCAGCCATCCCAGATCCTTTTCCCACCCGGCTGACTCCAGGTGTCCTCTCTGCCCCTCCAGGCCGGCCGAATGTCCCCCAGCCAGTTTGCCCGGGTGTCCGGGCTGGTGGGGAGCCCGCTGCCCTCCGTGAATCCCAAGCTGCTCCAGGGCAGAGTTGGGCAGATGATGTCCACAGCCGGTGGGTTCCGTGCCTTTTTCGGGGCTCCCCCTGCCCCGCCCCCCTCGCAGCTGCCGCACCCTCCGGGCCCCGGATCCCACCTGCAGAACCTGAGGTCGGTGCTGTCCCTGTCCCAGCATCCCAGCCTCTCCCTGCATCCATCCCTGACAATTCCCGCTCTCCCCAGGCCGCAGACCCAGATGTTCCGGCCGGACACGACCCATTTGCACCCCCAGCACCGCCGGCTCCTGCACCAGCGGCAGCAGCAGAACCGGAAGTGAGTGCGGGGACAGGGACGGGGCCGCGTGGCACGGGGACGTGTCCTGCTTCTGGGATCACCTGTCCCCCCTCTCTGTCCCTTCCTGTAGCTCCGGTGTGCTCACGGGTGCCCTTCTTCTCCTGCCAGCCAGCACCGGAGCCTCAACGGCTCCGGGGGGGACCGAGGGGGCCACCGGAGCAGCCATCAGGAGCAGATCCGTAAGGATCCCTATGCCAACCTCATGCTGCAGCGGGAAAAGGACTGGGTGTCCAAGATCCAGATGATGCAGCTGCAAAGCACTGATCCCTACCTGGATGATTATTATTATCAGGTACTTGGGAGCAGGATCTTCCCCTTGTCCATTGGGTATTGGGTGGGAATGGGGTGCAGAGAGAGATCCAGTGGATTGCTTTCTTCCTGGAATAGGAAGGCAGAGGGACAGGGTGGGATCAGCATCCTTGGGAAGAGCTGACTCCTTGGGCGAGATTTCCAGGAGTGAGATGTTGGGATACACCAATCTCTGGTCTGGGATAACAGGAGAGCAGCTCCTCTCCATCAGAAGTGTGACAGAGTCAGGATAAAACCCTTGGAATGAGACAAGGGAGATGCTAAATGGAAAACTCAAGATCTTGAGATCCTTGGGCAGGGAAAGGCTGACTTTGGTCTGACTGGGAATGGTGGTGGTGAATCCTGTGGGAATCCAAGGAGTGCAGTGGAGAAGGTGGATAGGGAGAGAGTGCTTCTGCTTTTTTCCATTTCAGGAATGGGGGATTGTCAGACAATGCTGGGAAAAGCCAGACTTGGAGCAGGTGAAGCAATGTGGTGGTTGGGAGACTGTTTGAGGGTTCCCAGGGAGAGAGGGAAATGTCTGGGATGGTCCTTGGGAGATTGAATGGAATGGAAGAGCTGTGGCTGTTGAGTCCACCTCTCATGCGGTGGCAGAGTTTTTCTGGGACCTGTGGGTAAGCTGGTCCCAGCAGAGAAGAGGAACTGGTGCAGGATGTGAGTCACCAAAGCTCTGCCATTGTGAAATGGGGTGGATGGGGTGGGGAGGCCCTGGCACAGTGCTAGTGGAGCAAGGTAGGCTAACTGGGATGTGCTGGGAAGGACTGGGAACCCCACAAGGAGAGCGGATTTGTCATTGTCCTGAGAGAGGGTTAAGGAGGAGCCTCGATCTCTCTCATCCTGAGGAATGGGAGAGGAGGATGGACTCTGCTGTGGCTTAAATGATGATGTTGAGAAGATAACGGAGCTGAGGAGAAGGAGATGGTCAATGGTTTTTTGGGAGAAGGCTCTCAACCTTTCCTCTCCCTGCCTCAGAATTACTTCCAGAAGCTGGAGAAGTTGGCAGCAGCTGAGGAAGTGCACGGTGATGGTCCCAAGAAGGAGCGCACTAAACTCATCACCCCACAGGTGGCCAAGCTGGAGCACACCTACAAGCCAGGTAAAGCCCTCCAGCAGCCCCAGGGCTCCTTTTATCCAGGGATTACAGGGGCTCATCCCTCGGCTTCCCTGTCCCTCCTTCCTGCAGTGCAGTTTGAGGGCTCGCTAGGAAAGCTCACCGTCTCCAGTGTCAACAACCCCCGGAAGATGATCGACGCCGTGGTGACGTCCCGCAGCGAGGATGATGTGAGTTCCTGGCCTTCCTCCTTTCCAACACAGCCCTGTGGCTGCTTCCCACGGCCCTGATTCCCCCTTCCCTCCCTGGCAGGAGACAAAGGAGAAGCAGGTCCGGGATAAGAGGCGACAGACCCTCGTCACCATCGAGAAGGTGAGTTTGAAGGGGATCATCCTGACCCTCAGAGGTCCATGGTGGGATAAAAAGTGGGCCAACCCAACCCATTCCATGATTTCCTGAGTGATCCATGCTTCCTGCAGACGTACAGCCTCCTCCTGGACGTGGAGGACTACGAGCGCCGCTACCTCCTGAGCCTGGAAGGGGAGCGGCCAGCCCTGATGGGAGAAAGGAAGCAGAAGATCTGTGACATGTACGACAATCTGAGGGGGAAGGCACCTGGGCAGGACAGGTGAGCGGGATTTGGGAGTTCCAACACTCGGACCACAGAAACCAGTTTTCCGTGGATCTGTTTGATTCTTGCAGGGAGCTGAAGTAACCTTTTTTTTTATCCATTTTACCCTCACTTTGGTTACAAAGTCACAATTTCCATCCCCTCCGACTGGCAGAGCTGATTTAGGGATGTCGTTCCTGTGTAGTTTTGCTCTCCTCAGGGATGTTTTTTGAGGCATGGGTGTTTTCCATCTGGTGCTGGGGCAGATCCCGGTACAGGATAACCCTGGGATGTACTCCCAGTTGAAGGCTGACACCTTTCTCCCTCCCTCCTCAGGCCGAGCGATGACCACTTCATGCAGATCATGTGCATCCGGAAAGGAAAGCGCCTGGTGGCCCGGATCCTCCCCTTCCTGGCTCCAGAGCAAGCGGCCGACGTGCTCATGGCCACGGCCAGGAACCTGCCCTTCCTCATCAAGAAGGATGCTCAGGATGAGGTGAGGCTCCAGAGGCTGAAAGGGCTCCGTGTGTCTTCAGGATGGCAGTTCCTGGGAGGGGGCCAGAGGTTTGGGGGGGCTGTGTGGGAGAAGCTGTTTGCAATTCCAGCCAGGCACAGGGAAGTGTGTTGAGCTCCCAACTGTGTTCCTTTCTCCACAGGTGCTTCCCTGCCTCTTGAGGCCCTTTTCCCACGTCCTCTACCACCTTCCCTTGGGAACAGTCACCAGCCTTGTGCAGCAGCTCACGAACCTACCTCAGAGCGCCGCCGCTCCCACCAACCTGCACCTCACTGCTGTGCTCCAAAACAAGGTGCTCCTCATCCCCACCCCTTCCCAGCCTTGGGAATTGCCCCAGCAGCCTCTCAGCGCTGGGGTGTTCCCCTCACTCTTTAACCGAGGGTGTCTGGCTCATTAATTAATGGCCTGAGGTTGCCCCTGGCTCTGCTTCAGCCTGGCAGCATTTTCTGGGTCTGTCCCGCTGTACTTCATGCTCCAGTCCTGGAATTTGGGGTGGGAATGTTGCTCCAGTGCTCCTGGGCTGGCAGTGGTCTGTGGTCTTTTCTTCCTCCTCCTCCTGCAAAGGCAGCCAGGGATCTTCCTGCCTGTGGCAGCATTCCAGGAGGGTTAGGAAGTGTTGAGGATTGTCCGATTTTCCCAAGGAGTGCTTGGAGGGAACTGATCCCCTCTGTGTTCCCACAGTTTGGTCTGTCCCTGCTGTACCTGGTTCTGAGCCGAGGGGAGGAATTGCAGAGCTCAGACACAAACACGGAGCTGATGCAGGACAACCAATGGTGAGTCCCTGTCCCGGGCTGGCATTTTCCTGCATGGAACGTCACCACATTCCCAGCCCCGTGGGGAGAAAAAAGTAGCCTCCAGGTTTCTGGAACCCCCGTGCCTCTCACTGCTCCCTTCTCCCGTTTTTCTGGCAGGACAGAGCTGATGCTGATGGCAACCCGGGAGCTCCTGCGGATCCCTCAGGGAGCTTTGGCAAAGCCCGTGTCCATCCCCTCCAACTTGATCTCCCTCTTCTCTCGCTATGTTGACCAGCAGAAGCTGAACCTGCTGGAGACAAAATTGCAGTGAGTGCCAGCCCTCTTTTCCCATGGGAATGTGGCCCTGTTCCAACAGGGGACCTGGAGAAGGGGGAAACCGGAGGTGGGGGTGCAGCTGGAGAAGGATTGGAGTGGGGAAAAGCAGCTTGGGGAGAGGGGAGTCATTGCCTCCCTCCTTACCCCACCACTGTTGTTCCCTGGTTCCAGCTTAGTGCAGGGGATCCGGTAGATCTCCGTGGCTCCTCGCCACCACCGGAATGTTCCAGAGGAAGGATGGAAGGAAGGAAGGAAGGATGGATGGAGGGCACACGGTTCACCCCACACTTCCCCCGACACCCGGCCTGGCACATGGGGCACATCTGCCCTCCAGTCCCTGGATCAGCAGGAAGAGGGGGTTGTTTGGCTGCTCCCCCCCCCCCCCCCCCCCCCCTCATACAAAGTGCTGCCTTTCCCTGCTGCTCCCAATTTCCCCCTGACTCCCTTTGCACCCCCAAAAACTGCTGCTTCCCCGCCAGACACACACACACACACACCACACACACACTACTGAGGATCCTCGGAAGTGGGGAGCCCCTTGCTCCACATCCTTGGCCAGGGGTTCCCCGCTCCTTCCCTGCTCCTTCTCCAGCCCTTCCCACAAGCACTGAGCTCTGCTTCCTGCCCTTCCCCACACTTCACACACCTGTTTCGCACACTCGCCTCGTCTTCCCAAAATTCGGCTCCTTCCCTCCCCCTGGGATCAGCCCCAGCATCTCCGGGGTGGGGAGGCACAGCCGGGTCTCTGTCCCCTCTGGATCGGATCCGGGTGGATTCAGCTGTGCTGCTCCTTGGGAAGGTGGTGGTGGTGGTTGGGGGATAATTTTACCTTTTTTTTTTTTTTTTTTTTTTTTTTTTTTCTTTTAAAAATAAAAAGAAAAACATGAGATTTGCACATATATCCCCACATTCCGGGGGGATTTTTCACCCCGGAATTCTTCCTGGCATTAACCAGCCCCCCTTCCGCTGCTCCCAGCTCCTTCCCTGTCTTTTTCCTCTGACAGATCAAGTGGAAAGTTCATTTATTATTTTATTTTATTTCTTTTTACCTGCTTTTTTGTTTTGGTTTTTTTTCCTTCCCCCCCCCGCCCTTTTACTCCTTTTTTTCTTAATTTCATTTGCTTGCAGTAATTTTTTTTGTTTGGTTTTTTTCTTCCCCATCCCTTCCAGTCTTTGGTTCTGGTTAATGAGAATAAAGTTTCTAAATTTACATTTTTATAGGGTATTGTAAATAAAGATGAATTGTATACGGCTGCCAGCCTGGCCTCTCCTTCTCTGGCCCGAGCCCCGCCCTGCGCGACCCCGCAGTGTCCCGGCCTTGTCCCCGCTCTGTCCCCTCGAGGGTCTCGAACCTGCGAGCCTCGGGATTGCCTCCGTGGGCAGAGGGCAGGGGGCGTGGCTTTGCCTCAGCCAATGGTAACGCGCGTGTCGCGAGGTCCCGCCCCATAGCCAATCGCTGGCGGGCGACTCACCGCTAGGCATCAGCACGCGCGCGCGACGCTCCCCCGCCCATTGGTTCCCGACCTGATTGACAGCTGAGGTGTCCGCCGTTGACCAATCGCAACACGCGAACCGCCCAGCCGGCGCTCTGTCCGCCAATGGGACGCGGACGTGGGCGGGGCGAGTGACGGCAGCGCGGTGGGGCGGTGGCGGCGGCGGCGATGGCGG